ATGAGAAGATACTTCTGAAATAAGGAAAAAAAATTACCATTTCTTGAGCCTCAAAGAAACATTCACGGAAGGAAGGAATGGATGAAAAATATTGGAGAATCGGGCAAAGGTTTGAAAGACATCATGCCGTACGAAAAAACGGAAGTTTACAGTATTTTCATTCTGGTCTAGGAGAGCCTAGACGGTTGGAAACTGTGAAGAGTCCACCGATTCATTAACCTAGGAAACAAAATCTGGAATCCCAAGATTTTATTATTTTATTACGTCTTACCACATACTCATCCCCTTTCCAGACAGAAATTGCAAAAGACGAAACGAAAATTGAGTGAAACAAATAATAATGATCAATTACATGTTTCCGAATCTGGTGTGCTGGATACCTCGCGAGAATGTGGATTCAGTGAAGGTGTATTGAACAATATCCATTTCAATGTATTTAAGATATTAACATTATTACACGAGAACATTATTTCTCATAATATAAGCATGGTCAAAAAACACTGACACACAATATTTGATTATCTCATGATGCAAGCTTCTACCTTCCAATCCAATATATTATGTTGACTGATATATTCAGATTGTGTTCCTTGGAATATAAGAATCTTCTTTACTTTCTTCAACTTGAACATCCTATATTCTTTTGTATGGCATCGGAATGATCCATTTTATTATCTCAAATATTCCCTCATATGGGGATTATCTGTGAAACTATATATCAACACAATTTTTTAACATTTTTGTCGGCGGAACCTTCCATTCTAAAAGGAAATGCGCTGTTGAATCATCATAGGAAAATTATGGATATTGGCACTAACAGTTAGTCCAGTAGTTCCATCTCGGTAAAAGTACTAAATAAAAACCAGAAATCAATTTCAAATGTTCAATTTGACTTGTACAAGCTGTCCCATTCTCGATGTCCTTTCGGACCGCCTGTACTGTAAGAATGACACTGCATTTCAAAATTGTGTGCATGACGTATTTGTCAGTTGAGATGACTTTAACGTCAATTTCCATCAAGGGACCATAGTTCCAACTTGGGCCAAATTCTTCGTAAAATGGTCTATTGAAATAAATACATTTCTCGCCTTTATTAGCAAACTAACTCATCGAATCATCTATGATTGAATGAGTTTTTAGTAATTTGCTGCCTCTACAACCAGTACTGACATGTCTGATTGATAGTCGTTCTCAACCATCTAGAAAGCTTTGAAGAAAATATTTCGTTCAGTTTCAATTTCAAAAAACTTCTTGCAAAACTACCAAACCCTCACAAACTTATCCAAATGGCAAAAATGCTGTTGCAAAAGGTATGTCCGCTCTGTCTATATACTATTCGATGATTGGACTGTCAGTTTCCAAAAGTTACACTATTTTTGTTGAAGTATTCGTGCTGTATATGCAGATGTAAGATTGAGTTATGATGTTCTTTCATTCTGAAAAAAGTCATACTTCGATAATGGGGCTCTATTGAAACAGAAATTTCGAAATCTATTCAACAACAATAGAACTCATAATACAGGAACACCTTGTGTCATGTCTGCACTATATTCAGTCAGTTTTCTGGCTCTCTCTTATCATTTCGTCATAGAAGTCCAACGTATAACTCAGGTGAAAGAGGCTCAGATATCTTTTTTCAATTTGTTTTTCACAATTGAACATATAACGAACAAATAATCACGAGACCACATTTTCAAGCTATGAATTGCGTGTACAGATTGAAATAAACGCGTATAGATTGTTCTCCTTCACATGAACAGGGGAAATCCTGACATGACTGAGACGTTCAGTGTTACCAACTTTTGGACGGTTTAGCTTTCGACGTTAGAGAGTAGGTGAGATTCGGTGAGATTGGGCAATGAAATTCAACAAATTTTTACTAAATCACGTCAGGACCCCTGTTGCCTGAAAGCCCTATATCATCGATAGGGCTGATACCTATGTAATAAACGTGATAACTATAAAATTCTCAAGCTTTTTGATGGCAACCAACTAAAACTGTCATTTGATGATCTATAATACTCATATTGAACTATAAAAGTTAATATGATCGTGAAAGTGTCGTCAATTTTATAGTGGTGCTATTCAGAGTTGATATAAGTTCAGGATGATTTTAATATATATGGCTACATATTTTATAAGATGTATTAATAAATATTCCATAATTCATTCATGGTCGAGCGAGTGTCCGTGGAAATTCTACAATTATTTTCAAACCTCGCATGATAGACAATATGACTTTCGCTACCGAAGATCAACTGGAGATTTACTTGCCTACTTCACCCATATATGGCAAGCTTCATTATAGAAAAACATGGAGAATCTCTAGCTGTAGCGCTAGATCATAGATAGATATATCGAAGGCATTCGACCGTGTTCGGCACCAAGGACAGCTTCACAAACTACCACAGCTCGCTATGCCATTTTTTATCGAGTTTTCTTCCAGGCAGATCGCTCCATGTAGTGGTGAAAGGAGTGTCGTCTGATACCATTGCCATCAATTCCGGCGTTCCACAAGGACCAATCTTGGCACCAACATTGTTCCTACTTCATATATCAACGATATATTGGGAGCAACCACTGGACCCATCCACAGCTTTGCAGACGACAGTACTCTCCATACTGCGTTCTCTCCTAGAATTTCCATTTCTTCCTATAGGAAACTGATAACTTACGACGACCGCAGGTCAACGCTGTCATTGACGATTCCACTGAAATTACTGCCTGAGGAACCAACAACCTAGTTGAATTCAATGCTACCAAAACTCAAGCCTGTATTTTCTAGACAAGCGGAAATCAGTATGCCTGTTATAACAATGTATGGTACCACTATTCCCACCAGGACCACTATATCTATGCTCGGTATTACCATCAGCAATACTGCCTGATGAGAAAATCATGTACGATCCATCGCAAAAGCTGCTCCACAAAAACTCGGATTCTTGTTCCGTGCTAAAACCTACTTTACACATCAACAGTATCTCATCATCTACAAAGCACATATATGGCCAGTTCCAGAATACTGTTCTCATGTATGGGGTTCAGCACCCGAACATACGCTGATGCTCTTAGATTCTTTCCAGAAAAGAGCCATTCGGCTGGTGGGTGATGCCACACTCACTAACTTTCTGACCCCATCAGAACACCGTCGAAATGCCGGCAACCTTTCATTTTTCTATAGATACTTCCACGGGAAATTTTCCTCAGAAATTTCTGCAATAAATCCATCACTTGCAATATCAGTCAGACAAACTCGACAGGCCCAGTCGTTAACCTTGAAAATTTCGAACAACACTACCAAAACTTGTTCGCCTATAAAACGGCGAAACATTGAAATTATTTGCCAAGAACCTATAACTTTCAACAGTTCAAAAAAAAATCCAACACCTACCTTCCTAGGTACACACGATGTATCACGAACAATATAGGAATTTCCTTTCTTGCGCTCCAAGAGACAAAGAAAATATCCCACAGATCCCAACTCAGAGAATAGATTAAATGAAATGACTAGCGATATCATAGGATGAAAAAAAATCGATTAATCATAATCTCAGGAGCACTATATATACATATACTGTAATAACTAACGAATTCATAGTTGATCTCCACAGTACATCACAATAAAAATCCCATTATAATAAATTATGTGATAAAGGCCTATTTACATTAACATCGAGATGATTAATATGTGTTCTGTACGTTTTTATTTCTACCGCTGAGCATGCCGATAAAAGAATATCGAGTCGCTTCAAGCAAAGCCATTATTAACGAAATAGTCGAATTATTATAATTATCGGTTTGATCTGAGGTTCGATCATTTACGACTTGCGAGATCATTGTTTCAGGAGTCCATCCATCAGGTGAGAAATTATTGGCATGTGTTTGGATTGCGTTAAGCACCTAGCGATACAACAAAGAATATAGAATTGCTAAATTAGAGGGTGACCGACTCTCATGTCATTGTTGAAAATCATATCATAGGATGATATCAAGTGTTTCTTTGAGATGCCGATTAAACGAAATTTGTCTAAAATTCTTCGATACAAATTCAGGGAGTGTTTATATATCACAGTTTTGGCTGACACCGAGGCTCACACTTAGTAGTGAATTCCAGAATATGAAAATATTATGACAGCCATGTAAGGCTGCCGCTGGTGAATCTTTTCCTCGATCTTTTCGTTCAATTTTTGTAGTAACAATCATGACAAAACGAATTACAAAATCGAAGGTATTCAATCAACAGACAACAGCCGGAATACAAAAACCGAAACATAATGTTTCCGATCATCAATACAGACATTCCACAACCAATCAAAAACATATGAGGGATATGATCGCGATAATACAAGTTGTCGGTGGCTGGTCTTATTATGAGAGCATTTTGATATGTGTGGAATAGTTGAGCTATAAATTCTGATATTTAGACAATATCACACACATGGTCAGTCCGGCAACCTCAAAGATGTTCTATTGACTCACAGATTAAACACACAATTCATCTTACAACTTAGGAACCCCAAGATGGAGATATCCCTTGTGGCAATATGCCCAGATCACTAATTTTGCTGCTGTCATCATTTCAAATCAGTCCCAGACATTTGCACTTATAACTTCCCAGAACATACCAATAAACGTTGGGAACAGACCAAACTAATTAAAATAATCATCATTTGAATTAAGGTTATGCGGGCAGCGGTAATTTCAATAAATTATCATTGCCTCATACAAATTGTTTCTATATTGTAGAATATTATGGGTATAGACGAGATCACCTAATTGTTGCTAAAAAAGATATGGTGATGTGATGTAATATCTCCCGTAATACATTGCGATAATCATGTTTTCATCCAAAGGTGATATTTCAAAATAAGTCTGTTATTCAGCTATCAGCTTTGGTCATAACAAAGTCTTTGCATCAATATCTATTCTGTTAGGCCTATCTCAACATGAAACCGATTCTGGTACACACAAAAATTCTTGATATATAATCACAAAAGAAATTAAATCAAAGAAACATGAGACTTACCGCCTTTCTCCGCATTTGTAATGGTCACCCAAAAATCGATGGTCTTCTCTGGCCCCAACTCCTCGTAGTCCCACTTCTTCTTGACCCTCACGGACCCGTTCGGATCCACAGTGACCCACGGATTCTCGTCCCTGATCTTGAAAGTCTCCCTATCAGTCTCCTTCTCCAATTGGAAGACAACCCTTCCGTCAGTCTCCCCATCGGTCTCGGTGAACTCTATCCGCTTGGTGGGCCTCACGGCTCTAGTGACGCGTCTCTTGGTCCTGTGCAGCTCGACCTCTTCGAGGTGTTGGAAGTCCAAGTCGAGCTCCACCTTGGAGGACTCGGCTGGTTTGAAGTGGAAGATCACCTGGGCGGGCCTAGGAGAAGTCCTGCTAGGCGTGCGCAGATCGTGCGCCTCTACGATCAGCTCCAGCTCTATCTCTTCGATGGGCTCTTGGCTGAGCAGCAGATCTCCCGTTTGCGGCACTATCACCAGGAAGTTAGTTGGAGTTGCTAGTTTATACACAACTTTGTCGCCATCAGCATCTGTCGCTTCTACTTTACCGATGGAAGAGAACCGTTTCCAAGCCATCGTTACGTTATCGCCTTCGATAGAGTCGTCACCTACTACGAACCTGTAGACTTTCTGAGTGAACACTGGGCTGTTATCGTTCTCATCCTCCACTTCTATGACGACGTTCGTCAGAGCTCTGTTGACTCCGCTAGGATCAACAGCTTGTATTGTGAGGATGTATCTGCTAGCTTCTTCCCGGTCCAGCACTTGAGATGTGATGACGTTGACACCTCCGCGTATATCGCTGATAGTCACGTTGGGAAGCACGTCTCCTGTGAGGCTGTCCTGTAGCTCGAAGGAGTTAGCAGAGTTGCCAGCTATGATCGTATATGTGACTGGAGCGGACACCAGGTCTGTGGATGCTTGAAGGAGTGGCAAGCCAGCGATTCTGGTGCCTGTAGGCGAGTTCTCTCTGATTCGTCCAACGATCTCTTCGGTCGGATCTGTCTTGAAGCTGAGCATATTTCGCCTGTCTAGGACGTAGAGCTTCAACAAGTGGGTGGTACTCGCGTTGCCCTTGTTTTCTAGCACGACTAGATCTACGGGGTGGTTCACTAGCGGACTCACATCTGATACTGTCATGATGGAGCCGTCGTGAAGCATCGTGAAGAATTGCGAGAAGTCCGAGTCTAAGAGTTTCAAGTTTTCGGCATGATCGAACTTTTTCACACTGTAGCCGGGGTGAGCATCGTGAGGTATCACCGAGGACACCGTTTTGGAAGAGGAGTTCGTTACTAAGGCGAGGAGCAGAGCCAAAATGTGGGTGGTGGGCCACATTTTGTTGAAGAGATGCGAGGTTCACCGTCGCCACATTGGAAAACCAAGACCTGCAAGTGAAGTCAATTGAAAAATCGAGTGAAAAGTGGACTATTCAATTTAAACTTATCGACATTTGAGATATATAATTTTTTATTTCTATATATCGAATGAGTTGATTAACTCTCGGGTACAGAAAAAAATCCATGAGAGTCTCAATGGAAGTTATTCATATATTTGGCATGAAAATTCAATGAAGAAATAATATAGGAATGTTTGCTACTAACATTCTATTTATCTTCATGAATTCATCTCACTTTAAGTAGTAGGTATTATTTCTTCTATGTTAATACCCCATTTTGAGAATGCAAATGTTTATGTTTATGTGATAGGTATATTAAATTGCTGTTTTGACCCTGGACTACTGATAGATTCAGATGGAAAAAGCATTACTAAATTAGTTGAAATAACAGGAGCAGCTTTACTCTAACAATAAATAATACATAATATTCATAACACTATAATTTCGAGTATAAATTATTGATGGATTGCTCAGATATATGATTCAGTGTCAAGTTCAATGCGCATATAAATGTGATGAAAAACATCAACATAACTAAAGGTTATCTCAAATAATAACAAGTTCCTCTTCGTCATAAATTGAGTTCACCTACAGATAATGCAAGAACATTTCATTGTTTAAAGACTATATTATAACATCGGGGCCTTAAAGTATCATCAAAGATAACTACTGACCCTATTTCAATTCAATTCACTCCGTAACACTGCATTTTCCCAGGGCTTAATTCGACGTTATCGCAAGGGGTAGGGTGCTAGTTGATATTTTTAAGTTAGGGTAGCTGTTATATGACAGGCAGAGTGATATATAGGATAAATGATCATCTGTTACGGAAGTATTTTTTTGGGCTGTTGTATGTTCTTCAATTGATGATCAATAATATGCTTGTATTCATTCTGCTCAGTATTACTTAGATTCATATTTGATGTAACATACAAGATATAGAAAGGAAATCAAAAACAAAACATAAAGTTCTTAATTCAAAGTGCATAGAAGCAGTGTTTCGACTATGAGTTCTGGAAACATGAAGTAAGGGTAATATAATGACTTAACAACCGTCTATGCGACTTAGCACGTTCAAAAGATGTCATAAATTCATTCTTCCGAGATAAGCCGTGCTAATGTGATTGGTATGACACTTCCACACAAACAATAAGATGCCGACCAATGGAAATTACCATAATAAGAGCCGACAAGCCATCTACCTGGGTCTACGGGATTTTCTGCCGGCGTGTAAACCACGTGGCATCAGCCAATCAAACTTTATACAGGATAGATGAATTTATTGGTTGATTTATCTTATCTGACCGAAACAGTGTAGCTCCTTGGGATGCTAATTGTATCTTTATGATAATTCGATATGCTAATAAGCACAGATCTCGGAACTACATGAATAATTCAATGAAAACAAGAAATTCTGACCATTATGTGTGAAGATTTCAATCGATGAAAGAATTTTGTGAACACAAAAAGATCGGAGATTTTTTAATCGTTGCAGCTAGGCCCTTAGAAGATGATGTATAATGTATTATGATGATCCCTCCACATTGAATAAATACCTAACAGGATTATATTCATGATGAACTACTCAATTGCTTGTTGAATAGGTAAACTCTGAGTGAATAAAAAACTGTCATGTTTGGAAATATATTTAGGAACACAATTCATCTTGATATTTGAAGGACATGCATTTTATTTGATTCACGATACTATCACTAGGAAAGACTGAAATGAAAAAACTTCGAACTAGTGAATAAATACCTACGCTTTTACCGCGTGTACCTAGGTATAGGTTTCTTGTTTTCAAATGCTTCCTTCAAAACGTAATCTTATTTCATAATATCTCCGCCAACTCACTTCCTCTTCTAACTTATATGCTGATGTCCTGCTACTGATCAAATTACAATGAATCCGAACATATAGGTAGTTTGTGGAGGTATGATTATTATATAATGATTTATTTCCTATCCCCGGTCCTGTTTTATTGTTAAACTCGAGGTTAAACTGCATCAATGAAATAAGAAATCCTCAAGAATCTCGATCCAGAAATGGAAATATTCTTGTAGGTAAGTACGAAGGTAAGTCTGAGTATAAAAACCAGTAAAAACACAATTAATGTTGGGTGAACTTGTAAAATGAAGGTATATGTGTTAAGATATACTGAACATGCTAAACTGTTTCTAAATCCACTTTAGACCACTTGAGACTCCTAAAACGCCAGACCCAGTACAAAATAGGTAATAATGATATATTTCACCGCCATCTACTGAATAATTCACCCTGCAAACTGGGGGATGAGGGTGCGTTTTTAAGAAAAGGAACATCCGTAAATAAATGATGAGGTAAAAGCAAGTTGAGTCAGTTGAGTGGTATCTTTAAAAGTTTGAAGATCGATTATTCTGACTGGTTAAAAAGTACAGATTTATGACGAAGAAATCGGAAAGGATTCATAATTACTTTTTATTATAAATTATAAATATATTAATTTTGAGTCGGTATAAATTATGAATTGATATTTTGAGGAGTTAATACATTCGAGGAAAGAAGACATCAGAATGATTCCACGAGATTACTTAATACCTACCTATATACTCAGCTTGTTATTCCTTACTGACATAACGTAAATGGAGTAGGTGAAAAAAATAATGGTTTCAGAGTATATAGGGACTCAGTCATAATTATGTCTTGTATATGTCTTTTGAAATTTGGATTGTACCTATAGTATACAAATACAAGACAACGTCCCAAAATATAAATTGACATCTTCGTATATACTTATACAGGTACAGGATAACTGACAAATACTCCATTATTTATTATCTGACTCCTCTTGACTATACCTACTTTTAGGTACAATGAGACAAGCATCAATAATTTAAAAAAGTCCTAGTTTTCCACCTGTTCTATATCATCCATGATACCATCCATGAAAAAAACACTGCGCAGAAGAAAATATATGAGCTAGGGACACAGTTCAGCAATCTTGGGTTCAGCGGCTCTTTAAATTTTACGCCTATAGCGAATATTCTCCATCGCCCTTGTGAAATATGGGTCTAGAAATTTCAGCAAGTCACGTATTTCCATGAATAGGTTCTACATTTAGATCACGAACCCCGAATCGATCATATTCCAGCAAGAAACATGTCAAACTCTCTAATGGCATGGCCAGGTCTAAAATTAATCCGTCAGGCCCAAACATGCGACCAAAATTATACTTCCACATTAGAAATGAGGAACAAATCTTAAACGTCATGCATATAGAGAAAAAGAGCATGTGCGTGAGGCTTTATTATTTGTATATTTCTGTGCAAAACTAAAGGGGAAGGGCACACGCTTTATATTACTAAAAATCAATAATATTACTATAGCGCCCGCTCGATCCAAAACCGCCGTGTTTGACGTATGGCATTGAGCTTCAGGAAAGCACAAGAAAAACTAGGTTTCCATGAAGTTTTCATTCATGTTTTATAAGAAATCCAAATTTGTACTTACTAATTTTCCTGTCTAGTTTCGAGGTTGGAAATATAGACGCTACTATAGTAAATCCCTACGAACGTGAATCTGTCTAGCAAACAACCGGTGTCGACACTTTCACACAAAAATCACTAATCGGACACCAAAGAAACCCTTACACTTTTCCCATAAATGATTGAACTTTCTCTACAGCATCTCGACTATGCAAGTCCCGAATATACCGCATCGATACTGGCGGCTGTATACGCGCACTCGATGTGGAGAGACTCCGACGCGACCGAGTGCCTCCGAAGAGACCCGAGCGGCGCTAAAAATGGCCGACGGCGAACCACCCTCACACTGCCTCGTGGGACTGTGGGACACTCCGCCGTTATGTAATCAAGGTGGCCGAGGCACGCGGCCTGCAGAAATCGTGGTCATCGAGCACGATTTGTGAGGCGATGTCTGAGGAGATTCGAAACGCCTCGGGCAGCTCACGAGTGACTGGTCGGCAATCAATCATCAGAAGACGCCGATATACGTATCTATATAATTCATGACCAGCTTCAGAATTACTCCAACTTGGATCTTCTGAGTTGTGCATAGGTAGCGGATGATCGATTCGTCATTTACTGCGACTGATGCAACTGGAGGCGAATGGTACTAGTAAAAGATTATATTAGATTTGATGGAATGAAGCCTTCAGGCTGTTTGTCTCCACACCGCGACCCTCCCAGATCTATCGTGTCTTCCCTCAAAATCTATAGGCAAGCTTTTAGATTCCATGTGTATCTTTGAGCTCTTAGTTTTCACTCTACCAGTGTCAGGATCCTTAGTTTTGACAAGCCCTCACAGTGACAAAGAATATGTGTATTGTGGTTTCCTTCTTCTCCTGGCTGAACCAGCACACCTATCGTACTCATATGTGTTTATTGAGCCTGATGCATTGGAGGTAAAGTAGAGGTAGAAATTAAATTAGAAAGGAGCCTTTGAGCAATTTGCTTCCATACAGCGACATTTCCAAATCTATTGTGTTTGCCCTCGGAATCGTTTAGATTTCTATGACTAGCCCTACCTTCTTGTTGAGAGTGCATATAGGCTAGCTTCCAGATCCCGTGTGTATCTTTGGGCTCTTAGTTCGTATTCTCCCAGCGTATAGGGAAGCTTTTAGTATTGATCGAAGGTATTGACAATCCCTCACAGTAAGAATATGCTGCTATACTGCTATACTGCTATTTCCTCCTCTTCCTGACAGAACCTGCACAGCAGTTCTTCAACCAGACCTTAAACCAGACCTATCGTTCCCATGCGTGTTTATTGAGCCTACAATGCCCTGTGAGAAGTCCCTAGAGGTATCTAGCATGTGTATAATAAGGGAAAATTCAATCTGCTTCTACTAACGCCAAAGTTGCTACTAATGTAGATTCGTTGGTAAGGTAGTATGCAAAAATTTTGTTATCATCAACAGCTTGGTAATGTGAAACAGTTC